ATATATTTGGAAAATCGTTTCATATACAACGAGCTTTGAAGCAATTTTTGTTTGAAGAAACGAGAAAAATTGAGTTACTATGGGAAATCGTAAAATATAGGGCAAGTTTGCTTTGAATGTTTATGAATTTTGTTGTTGCTTTTTGCGTATAAACACTTTCACCGTTTTCCTTTTCAATGTAGCTGTTAAATTAGCCTGTAATTTAAGAAGAAACTTAAATAATTACTGAAATTATTCAATAATTTGAACTTGAACTTATTTTAAACTTATTATTGAACAGTTTGATAAAAACTGTTTATCGGGAAAAGCAGTTTAGTTTATATAACACAACGCATCCAGACATGCGCACAGTGTAATAGTGCCAGGGTTCTCAAACGACCACAAGGGAAATGAGCTTTTGCATTATCGTTAATAGACACCCATTAACAACTCCGCAGAGTGGCTCAACAACACCGAAGTGGAGGAGCGTTATACCAGGTCGGTCAATCTGCGGACATGCATGTTTCGGCGTTCTACGCTTCGTCAGTGCAGCTTGGGAACGTAATACATTCGTATTTATAACACTTGAGATTGCTCTCACCAAGGCATGTGATACAACACGACGACATTGACGCATCCAGACATGCGCATAGTGTAGTGGGGCCAATTATTCACCTCACCGAAACTGAGGTGAGTAATTGTTTTAGCGTATGCCACAACAAAAAAAAATGACCAAAAAATAGCGAAAATATTTTAAAGCAATTTATATTTCAGCTCCAGGCCGTAATATAGTTGTAAACAAAACAATATAATTACAGCTTTTAGTAATTTTATTCATCAGAAATAGCTTTAAAGAATACCTCCACACATTACAAAACAACATATTACATCTACACAATACTTAACAAATGAAACTGTATTAAAAATACGATATTCTGCATGTATATAATTATAGGGATTTAAATCTGCATATTTTGCATAATTATATACTTACGAGGTTTATATTCTAATTAAAACTAAGGATGTTTTGCTCGACTTTATTTGTTAAATATTAAAAACTACATAATGAAAATTAATTTTGATAAAAACTTAATAACTCTCGAAATGAAAATAGAGTTATTACCTATAACTTTTTTATGAATTTGAATATATACGTTTAATAAACTTTTACAAGGAATGTGATGAACATTTTTAATTTATACAATTAAATTAACGGCTGCGAGCAAAACCCTACGTGATACATCTGCACGATATTAATGTATATTATTCCTAAGACCTAAATTGGAAAAAAAAACAATTTCAATCTATTGTATATGATTTCCATCTTTCGTATACTTTATATTTTTCGATTGAAATTCAATATTTTGGAGTAAATCTAATGTTTTTTAATTGACTGGTGGTTTTGTTTTAATCTCGATCAGTTCAAAAGCGATTTTGAAAATTGGAGAAAGTAGAATCAGGATTCTAAGATGTATATATTAATGTAGTAACGATTAATATTTAAAATGTAATATAATGAAAACAGACTGCGCACTGTTTACTACCACGTTACCACAACAGCGAGAAAACGCATATTAAACCCGGAATTTCCAAAAACTGACAGTTTGGGGGGGTTGTCACGGCAGAGAAGAGATCGAAAAATTGTTTCCAGTTTACAAGTATTTCTATTAAAAAAGTCATGTTTGGAAATATATTTACACATAGCAGTGTGTTGTTTTTTCTTCTCGTGCAAAGTTTAGCAGGTTTTCATCAAACTTGCAACACATGCGGTCGAATAGATTTCAACGTCGAACATGGAGTGCAGGACAAATTCTTGGATGATGGCCGAAAGCTGATGACTAAGATTGTTAAAAGCGACTCGGAATGTTTCGTAGAATGCTCGCTAGATTGCCGTTGCATGTCGTTTAGTGTTTGCGAGAATTCATGTCAGTTGAATGCTGGAAGTCGTAAGTTTGTGAAAAATTCACTGCGACATAAAGCTTGGTGTAGTTACTATGATTTCCCCCCGTTTGAGGTAAGTCTATCATTGTATCGTAAATCTGACGCAGGCATTGTATTGTAGGCGTTTCCAAACGTATATCCTATAAATATCCCTCTTTTTTCCCCTTTTTTGACGGTAACAGATGTGGGGAAAATAGTCGAGCGCACGAGCACTGCTTTCAGGAACTTTTGGAAAGGAACAGGAATTTAGATTGAGGATTTGCAACTTGAAAATATGAAGAAAAACATAGCCTTTAACAAAACATTTGACTCACATGCAATGGGTCTAGATATAGCAATTAGTACTGAGAGGCATATTTATTTCTTAAGAGTATTTATGAGGACGATGCATGGCTATAGGTTATTCACAAAAATATTCTGCTCGTCTGCCGGTTGTGGTTGCAGATGGAAAGTTATTTTTTCTACTCTTGACCGCTACTTACTATAACACCATCATTTCAGTGCATGTGAACATACTATAATACTTTAATATACTAATGTATGTAATGTATTTTCAGAGTGCATGTGGTCCCTCATTCAGTCCACCAAGACTTTGCTGCTTGCCCTCATCTCCACTGTGTTACAACAGGGCTACCTGTATTGTCAACGTCACTGACACCACCAGACGATTTCAATGCAAGTGTCCGACTGGGTACTATGGAAGCCAATGTCAAATCAAGAATCCGAGAACATGTTTGGATTATTGGACTGACGAAATCAAACCGATATCCAGAAAGTACATCATCGTAGGTAGGTAGGTAGGTAATACTTTATTTAAAATTAACAGAAAGAAGAACACGCTAGCCCCATCAACTCTAGGCTGGTTTCCATGGGGGGCGTGTTTAGATCTTAAAAATCATTAAAAGGAAAATTTAAACTAAATATTAGTACACACATACTGTACACGTTACTATATACAAATAATTAGGAAGCATGTCGCTGTCCAACAATTGATTTAAACGAATGAGGCGACTCGGCCAATTTTGCTTCGTTTGGGAGTTGATTCCAGAGCATAGCGCCGCTATATTTAAAACTTTTTTTAAGAAATTCTCGTTTCGGTTTAGGAATTGTTAGATCAGTTGCTGTGTTTCGAAGATGATAATTAGTTTGATCTATTTCTCTTCTCACGAATGACCCCCGGAGACCTGGCGCAGTGTGGTCGTTAAGTATTTTATACATTAATACTGACTTGGCACCAGACCGCCTATTTTCAAGTGTATCCCAAGAAAGCATGTTGAGAAGATCAGCTGAGCGAGTATCATAATTAGCACCCGTTAGGACTCTTGCTGCACGAGACTGAAATCTTTGCAACTTGTCTCTTAGCAACTTACCACAAGTGTCCCAAAGGGGGGAACAATAATCAAAGTAGGGCTGCACAAGACTTTTATAAATCGATTCTAAGGTATGCATTGGAACAAAGGGCTTTATACGTTTCATAGCGCCAATAGCAGCGCTCGCCTTCTTGCATATCATTTCAATGTGACTATCCCAATTAAGGGTTTCATCTAGTTTTACTCCTAGGCACATTTGTGTAGCAATTCGTGATATGGGTTTTGCATTAGCCACAACGGGTTCCTCACACATATTATTAAGATTATACGGGGAGCCAATAAACATCATTTTACATTTTGATGGATGCATCTGCAGCCTATTTTCTTTAAGCCAGTTACAGACATGGGCAAGATCTGAATTTAAATTTACAACAAGTTCATTTGCATCATATTCAAACAATCGGGCAAATCATTAATATATAATAGGAATAGCAGTGGTCTCAGTATAGATCCCTGGGGCACTCCACAGGTGATAATTTTATTACTAGATAGTTATCCATTAACATTACATTGCTGTTCTCTATTTGTTAAATATGACTCAAACCATTTTAATTCTACGCCAAAAATTCCAAATTGCTCATTCATTTTATTTAACAAAATGCGATGGTTTATAGAGTCAAATGCCTTTTTGATATCTATGAACACAACCCCATTTAACTTTCCATTGTCCATATTTTCTAGCCACTCATCACACATTTGGATGAGGGCAGTTACAGTTGAATGCTTTGGACGAAATCCAGATTGAAACTTTGACAGAAGAGAGCTTTCAGACAAGTATCTATATACTTGACGGAAAACTTCCTTCTCAAAGGCTTTACTCACCACCGGTAAAATTGAAATAGGCCGATAGTTCTCACATTGTCTTTTATCTCCGGATTTAAATATTGGCGTAACACGAGCATGCTTTCATTCATCTATATATACGCCTGTTGCAAGCGACAGATTGAAAATGAATGTCAACGAGGGTGCAATTATGTTTGCAGATAATTTTAGAATTTTAGCAGGAATTTTATCAAGACCTGTTGCTTTACATGCTTTTAGGCCTCTTAGGGTCGAGGCAACACTATCAACGGATATTGGAGATACTTTAAAAAAAGTATCTGAGGATTGATTAATATTATAGTTTATGGGCTGATTATCAACATTACTACAGGACTCGTCTACATATTCTGCTGCTAGCCTCGACCCAATACTAATGAAATAGTCATTAAATGCATCTGCAATAGATTTAGGATCCGAAACTAACGTGCTGTCAACCAGCAGCTCATTCACATTGTTGGATTTGTTATTCTTTCCCAATAATGAATTAATTAATTTCCAAGTCTTTTTAGGGTCATTCATTACAGAGCAATCAGTGATTTTATCATGAAAATATTTTGATTTTACATTTCGCATTTCAACATTCACTTTATTCCGCAGAAATTGAAAACTTTCCCAATGTGGCTGTGAGGAATGTTTTATTGCATATTTTTTATGATAGTCTCTGTTTCTCATCATACATTTAATTTCCGGAGTAATCCATGGGACCGAGTTCCCCTTTACTCGCTTATGTCGAATCGGCGCATGTATATTTAATATCTCATTAAAGAAAGATTTCCATACCCTCCAGCATTCGTGGACTCGAAGGGGACATTGTATGATGTCTTTTGCGATTTCGACTCTGAGGAAGGCTTGGTGTGGACCCTCTTTGAATCGTTTGACCTGGACAGTATGGTGCACGTGAATGGAATACCGTTTACAAAGGACTGTCCTAAAAATGAACATGATCTAAATTGGAAACTTTTTCGTCTTCCCAAGTCGGTAATGTCGGAAATCTCGTCTCGTTCTACATTTTGGAGGGCAACATGTTCCTACTCTCTGTATGGCGTTGATTTTCTAGACTACATCAGAGTGAGATTATCGACAATGAATCCCTTAACGCACAATAACAAATTTGGCCAGGAAAAATGTTCAACTGTGGATTACATCGATATAAAGGGTACGAATTGTGTAAATTGCGCACAAAAAATTTGGCAAAGTAGTAATACGATGCTCCGTCTCGTACCCAAGAGAAGTCGCCTTGATAAATGTAATTTCGACACATCAAAGGTCGAGCATGGATGTTACAATGGGAACTATGCGCGACTTCTTGGCCAATATGACGTGTGTTCAGACCCGAAGTACCGATGTAGCGAGAAAAATACGTCTACAACCGAATTTTGGTTTGGTGCTGCAAAAGCGATCTATGGGAACGAGCTTGATGCATAAAAGCTCTACTATAATGCCGCTGGTAGTGATAATTGATTTCCATTTATTAACTTTGCTTGCCTCAGCACTGTAGGAGTAGTGAACATGCATGGGAAGCGAAAAAGACGACGGCATGAAACGAAACTATACTTGCATTTCTTAAAATTTTATTCATTCAAATATTCTGAATAATCAAGTATTCTCTGGCTATAGATGGTTTTTACGGGCTTTCGACTATCAGTCCTGTTGCTTTCAACAGGTGAAAGAATATGATTGAAGCGATAGGAGCAATAACGTAGGCGATTTCCCATTGAGTGCCAGCTCCCTTTCCTTATTGAAAAATACATTCGTCTGGCGTTAGACAGAGTGAAATAATAAAGTAGGGCGCAATATTAGGGCACACTGTAATGAGAGTAAGATTTTCGATAATGAATCATTTAACATACATGCAATAGTTCATATTCAGGATGTTTAATTAACTGCGGATTACTTCGACATAAAAAGCACCAATTGCGTAATATGCACCCCATGCATTTATTCAAACTAATGACCAAATGCTCAAACTCAAACCCCCGGTCGAATCGTATGAATGTAATTTTGGCACATTAGTGGTTGAGCATGTGGCTCTGTTACAGGACATTCACAGCTTATCGGTGGTTATAAAATGAAATGTTTGGACTCGAACTGAGCACCGATGTAGTGAGAAAACAACGTCTACAACTTGATTACAATGTTGATAAAGCGTTAAAGAAAAGAAAAATAATTTAAAGGAAAATGGCAATAAAAATTAAGTTTGCCTATGCAGATTATTTACAAATTCTTTTTACAAATTCACCCAATGTATCTTAATCTTTGAGATATTTGCAACCAAAAATCCTGCTCTGTCATCTTAATTTATGATTAGATCTAATTATAAAGTATGTCACAACCAGGGTATATATGTTTTAAAACTAAAAGATAATCTGGAGAAAGCTTATGCACAGCTTGTTTGTGCTTTAAGTTAAAATGGGCAGTTGAAAAATAGGGTTTAGATTTTACGAGCAGATAATTGGTCAAAATGTACGAAATAAATTTATCCCGGTGACTTCACCATATTTATCCAATGACAGATATGCATATCCAAGATGGCGGACTGCGTAATGAATTTGTTTTAAATAAAGGAGTAATACTATTATACCAAGAGCGATAAAAAATCAGTATACGAATTTGAAATTTGTTGACTCACTCTTCCGTGCAATTGGGGAAAACTTAATTTTCATCCCTTTAATTTAAAAGAAAACTTGGGTTGTGTATAAAGAACCTAAATATAACTTCTGTTAATTTTGTTGGTGGTGATATACAGTAGCAAGACCTCTCAGAGGAGGGAGGGAAAAGGGGACAATTTGACCTTGGCCCAGAGTTAAAGGGGCCCCCAAAATTTGCAAAAGGGGGCCACAAAAGTTTGTAATTAAAAAAATTATTTGGAACGTTTTATTTATGTAAATAATAGTTTAAGAAAAAATTTTAGACTTAATTTTTTATGATATTGGTCCGAAATATTGTATTTTACCCGTGTTTTTACAGGTATTTGTTGGGAAAAAATTTTATGACTCTTAATTTAACTGGTATTTGTCCGGAAAATTGTTTCGCCGTTCTACGCCTCGTCAGTGCAGCTTGGTACACGTCTAGAAACGTGATATATACTGTAGGAGAAATATTACCCGAAGTGATGATATTTATCATCACTGAGGGTAATGTTTCTCCTAATCCCTCGAGCGGAGAGTCTATAAATGATAAATTTTACCGAAAATTAAAAGCCTCCAAGTTGAGAATTAAAAACTTGACACATACCTTCGTGAAATAATACGATGTTTTATTTTTGGATTAAGTTAAACGTAAGTATCGTCGCATTTCTTTCGAATCACATATCGTTTGGAATATCAATGACAACATTTTTCAAAATTTGCTTCAAAATTTCGAAAAAGCCGCAGGTTTTACGTTTATTAATTTAAAAGAGTTCCTTTTGACAATGTTCCACCTAATTTTAAAAAAAGCCGCAGGTTTTACGTTTATTAATTTAAAAGAGTTCCTTTTGACTGAGTTCCTTTTGACAATGTTCCACCCCGGGGAACATGGGGTTGAAGTTGAGGTACATGCAGTATAATATTCGTATTAATAACACACGAGATTGCTCTCACCAAGGCATGTGGTACAACACGACAACATCAACGCGTCCTGACACGCGCATAGTGTAGTGGGGTAATTGTTCACCTCAACGTGGAGCGTTGTGGTGAATATTCTTGCACAATTCACCGAAACTGAGGTGAATAATTGTTTCAGCGTATACCACAACAAAACAAAAATGACCAAAAAATAGCGAAAATATTTTAAAGCAATTTGTATTTCAGCTCCCGGGCGTAGTAGTTGTATAAACAAAACAATATAATTGCACGCTTTTAATAATTTTATTCATCAGAAATGCTTTAAAGAATACCTCTACACATTACAAAACAACATATTACATCTACACAATACATAACCAATTACTGGTTTAACTATAAATACTACAATAAACTGTATTAAGCATACTATATTCTGCATGTATACTCTTTTTAAAATTAAGCATGTTTTGCTCGACTTAATTTGTTAAATATTAAAAACTATATAATGAAAATTATTCTTGATGAAAACGAAATAACTTTCGAAATGAAAATAGAGTTATTACCGATATAAATTTTATATAAACTTGAATAAATACGTTTAATAAACTTTTACAAGGAATGTGATGAACATTTTTAATTTATACAATTAAATTAACAGCTGCGAGCAAAACCCTACGTGATATATCTGCACGATATTAATTAATGTATATTATTTCTAAGACCTAAATTGGAAAAAAAAAATTTTAATCTATTGTATATGATTTCCATCTTTAGTACTTTATTTTTTTCGATTGAAATTCAATATTTTGGAGTAAATGAAAATCTAATGTTTTTTAATTGAGTGGTGGTTTTGTTTTAATCTCGATGGGTTCAAAAGCGATTTTGAAAATTGGAGAAATTAGAATCAGGAATTCTAAGATATATAAATTGATGTAGTAACGATTAAAAACGATTAATATTTAAAATGTAATATATTGAAAACAGGCTGCGCACTGTTTACTACCACGTTACCACAACAACGAGAAAACGCATATTAAACCCGAAATTTCCAAAAATTGACAGTTTGGGGGGTTTGTCACGGCAGAGAAGACATCGAAGAATTGGTTTCAAGTTTACAAGTATTTCTATTAAAAAAGTCATGTTTGGAAATATATTTACACATAGCAGTGTGTTGCTTTTCCTTCTCGTGCAAAGTTTAGCAGGTTTTCATCAAACTTGCAACACATGCGGTCAAATAGATTTCAACGTCGAAGAGGGAGTGCAGGACAGATTCTTGCATGATGGCCGAAAGCTGACGACTAAGATTGTTAAAAGCGACTCGGAATGTTTCGTAGAATGCTCGCTAGACTGCCGTTGCATGTCGTTTAGTGTTTGTGAGAATTCGTATCAGTTGAATGCTGGAAGTCGTACGTTGGTGAAAAATTCACTGCGACATAAGCCTGGGTGTAGTTACTACGATTTCTCCCCGTTTGAGGTAAGTCTATCATCGTATCAAGAAAAATCTGGCATAGACGTTGCATTATAGGCGTTTCCAAACGTATCCCTCTTTTTTCCCTTTTTTGACGCTAACAGATGTGGGGAAAGTATAGTCGCGGGCACGCGAACACTGCTTTCAGGAATATTTGGAAAAGAACGAGAACTTTTTTTGATTGAGGATTTGCAACTTGAAAATTTAAAGAAAAACATAGCATATTTGACTCATTTGCAATGGGTCTATATAGCAATTAGTACTGAGAGGCATGTTTATTCTTTAAATTCAAAACCTTGCTCAGTAGACATATGAGGACGATACATGGCTATATAGGTTGCATGTATACAAAAATACTCGTCACAAAAATGCTCGTCCGCAGGAGATTTCCATCGTCCCGTTGTGGTTACAGAAGGAAAGTTATTTTTTCTACCCTTGAACGCTAACCTATACTTTCTAACACCATGATTTCAGCAGATGTGAATATACTATACTTCTTTGAAAAACTATAATATACTAATGCCTCTAATGTATTCTCAGAGTACATGTGGCCCCCCTTCCAGTCCACCAAGACTTTGCTGCTTGCCCTCATCTCCACTGTGTTATAACGGGGCTACCTGTATTGTCAACGTCACTGACGCCACCAGAAGATTTCAATGCCAGTGCCCGACTGGTTACTATGGAAGCCAATGTCAAATCAGGGATCCGAGAACATGTTTGGATTATTGGACTGACGAAGTCAAACCGATATCCAGAAATTATACCATTGTAGACTCGAACGGAACATTGTATGATGTCTTTTGCGATTTCGACTCCGAGGAAGGCTTGGTGTGGACCCTCTTTGAATCGTTTGACCTTGACGGTATGGTGCACGTGACTGGAAAACCGTTTACAAAGGACTGGCCAAAAAATGAACATAATCTAAGCTGGAAACTTTTTCGTCTCCCCAAGTCCGTAATGTCGGAAATCTCGTCTCGATCGACATTTTGGAGGGCAACATGTTCCTACTCTCTGTATGGCGTTGATTTTCGAGACTACATGAGAGTAAGATTATCGATAGTGAATCCATTAACACACGATCTTGTTTTTTTAAATGAAAAATGTTCAACTGTGGATTACATCAATATAAAAGGTACGAGTTGTGTAAATTGCACACAAATGATTTTCCAAAGGAGTAATACGATGCTCTATCTCCGACCCAGGAAGAGTCGCCTAACTGGTAAATGTAATTTCAACACATCAAAGGTCGAGCATAGATGTGACAATGGGGACTATTCGCGACTTTTTTGCCGAGATGACGTGTGTTCAGACCCGAAGTACCGATGTAGCGAGAAAACTACATCTACAGCCGAATTTTGGTTTGGTGCTGCAAAAGCAAACGATGGAAACGAGCTGATGCATAAAAACTCTGCTAGTTCCGCTGGCAGTGATCAATGATTTCCATTTATCAACTTTGCTGGCCTCGTCACTGTAGAAATAGTGAATTTGGGAAGATAAAAAGACGAAAGCATGAAACGAAATACTTACATTTCTTAAAATTTTACTCATTCAAATATGCTAAATAATCAAATATTCTCCGACTATAGATATTTTTACGGCCTTTCGGCTATCGGACCAATAGCCTTGAACAAGTGAAAGCATATATGTGGTAGAGCGCAATAGGGCACGATGCAACTTAGTGGGTCAATAAATACAAACGTCTAGTTACTAGTTAATATTGTTGCGGAAGAGGTTTAAACAATATATTAAAATTTTTAATTTTCTAAATTAAAAGTGCATATTTCGGAAATTATATTAAAATTGGTGGTTTGCAATGGACGTCGTCTTGGCTGTGTTTCATAACTTATACAAAAACTGTATATTTTTCAATCCAGAAATCGCAGCACTGCCCCATCATATACGCCAACTCAACTTGTTCTCGGAAACGGCTAAAATAAACTTTAGAATCAACCAACAATCCTAGACAAAACCACTCGGACAAGCACATGGAAAAGGCGCCTTAAATTCAAATGTCTGAATATAATTGCAAATACTCATCCCCCCACCCCTTAGAACAATGTTGATGAGATGAGAATGTCTTCTGTGATACATACATAATAAAGTAAACAACATTGTGCTGGGGGAACGGGGTTTAAGAGTTATTTACATCTTTCAATAATGCTGGGGGAACGGGGTTTAAGAGTTATTTACATCTTTTAATAAAAAATACCTCGCAGCTAAGGTGACAAACTCAATTTAGACCAAGTTGTCCGCATGAGTTTTGTCTATGATTGAAGCTACACGCACTGATGTCGTGTGCAACAAAGAATATAATATCACATTCCGCATTGTTTAACAAAGAATATAATATCACATTCCGCATTGTTTAACAAAGAATATAATATCACATTCCGCATTGTTTAACAAAGAATATAATATCACATTCCGCATTGTTTAACAAAGAATAGAATATCACATTCCGCATTGTTTAACAAAGAATAGAATATCACATTCCGCATTGTTTAACAAAGAATAGAATATCACATTCTCGCGGCTATTTCGTTAATGGAATAAAAAGACTAAACCGAAATGAACTGTTTTATATCGTTCCTTAAGCTTTTTTAAGGTGATACATCAATAATTGTTCTGGAAAAAGAATTTTGCTGAAACTTCCCAAGGGTGAAGTTTATGATTTGCTCATGGTAAAAACAGAAAGATATGACAAGTGTATATATGCCACCTTTTCCTCAATATGGCGCCATCTTTACTCTTTTACGAGTTACAGGAACAATTGCAAATGCTCGATCGTTATTGATTTTTTTAACAAGGATCCTACTAAAGATGTCTATCTAGTGATTATACAGCTATTTCACTTCAGGTTGTCCCCGAGCAAAGCGGAAATTCCCAGCTAATAAATGAATGAATTTATTAGCGATTTCCAGCAGCCTTTCGCGCTTGTATTCGACTTTTCCGCTCTGCTCTGGGGACAACCTTAATTGAAATAGCTGTATACAATAATGGTATTTTAATGAATCAAAAACCATTGACGTGCATTGTCGTGGTGCAAAGATGTATTTTCCATCTTCTCAGACATGTTATTTTGGGAAGCATGCGCGAAAAATGTAAAATATTATAAGTCGTAGAAATGATTTTTCTCGTATTTTCTGATATGACATGTAAAACGTATAGAAGACGTAACATTATGCGGTTTAGTGTGAGTGGCACAGGGTGCACGAGTTTTGTCAGTTTTGAAGGTGTATCTCCTGAAGCATGCCTATATATTCAATGCAGAGTGTTTTCTCTTTGTGCTTCCTTTTTCTTGATTACTTTACATATTGCAGTTCGACTGCATATATTAGCTAGAATTTGTTATGAGATATGCGCAGTAAAAGTGCGCAATGCGAAACTGATGAATTACCTTAAATGTTATATCGTGCGAATATTAAATGCGACGGGTTTGAAGTATTTCACTGGTTTCCCCATTGGCTTCGAAATTCCGTCGACTAAAATTCAGAGGAATTCGACGGAAATTCCACGTAAATGATCGACGAATAAAGTCCATTTTCCCCTAGGCGAATTTGTTCACGCGAAGCGAAAAACAAATTTTGGCGAAGCTAGGACCATTAATATAAATCATGCAACAATAATTCTCAATATAGCTGCCGGTATCTGTCCCGTTATTTTAGCTGCTCATATGATCAGCGTGCAATAGCTACTTTTTTAGACCGAAGACCGGTTCCTATATTGAGGGGTAATTTCCTGGTACACCAGTTCAGCGCCAACGGACATTAGGATCTCTAAGTTTTTTTCTTTTCTTTAATAGAATTTCGATTCATCTGTTGTTCATTTTACAATCTCGTCACCAATCAATCCACCCATGTTGATGGAACTAAATTTAGAGTCGGGGAAGATGGTACTGTATTTTATCTAGTAAAGTACGTTACGGTAGCTCAGATTAATTATTATGTAGCAGATGTCTAACTTGGTGTCGGTACAAATTCGTGTCCTTGCTTTTTAACTTCGCCGATCACGACGTAGGGCGTAAGCGATACTTGGAAAATGGCGGCACAAAATTACGAGCAATAATATCTCGCAATTTATCTGCATGATCATGCGCCATTTTCCCGTAGGTCAAGCTTAGGCATTTATAATTCATTCTGAAGATTCAAATATTCGATTTTAAGATTCAATGACTCAATCTTCAATGATTCAATCTTAGGATTGAATGATTCAATCTTTATTTTAGGACTCAATGGCTAAATAATTACACTCATTTTAGGACTCAATTTACTCATACACTCATTTTAGGACTCAATAATTACTCACGCACTCATTGTTACATTCCCTCCATCAAACTAATCATGATTTATGGTAAACCATGGAAGCTAGCATTAAAAATTCAATGATTTGATCTAGAGATTCAATATTTAAAGGATTCAATCTTATATGATTCTATAAATCAGTATATGACTCAAAGATTGAATCGTAGCATTTATTGATTCAATTTAAGCATTCAAAGATTCAATCTTAGGATTAAATTATTCAGTCTTATAGGATTCAATGATCCAATGTTAGAACTGAATTACTCAATCTTATATAGGATTCAATGATTCAAAATCCAAATCCGCTTATATATGTTTACTCTCCTGTATTTCTGTTACAGACGAATTTATCAAAAACTTCTCCAAAAGAACAAAAATATCTTGCAGGTGTACCTTTGTGTCGTAAAAAGTTAACGGCATTTAGTAAGGTATGTGAAGATGGTTGTTTGAGCGCTTGGAATAAAGGGAGTTATCTATCTTTGGGTGGAATAAAAGTGTAATTTTACTTATAAACGTGAATTAGTTTTCATGATGCTGTGTTCAATTTATTATTATTTTTGTACCATTCGCATGGATGAACAATCAATCTTTTACTTTTAAGGATGGTACTAAAGTTCCAATAACAATATTTCACAGGAAGGACATTGAATTAAATGCTCAGCATCCTGTATTGGCGCATGTTTATGGTAAATACATACTATAAGTTCAATTTTCAAATCATTGATCATCCACCAATGCAACAATGTAAAGGCCTGACCAAACGATATAATCAGTCGCCTATACGATTCGTTTTGGCTTATGAAAATTACTCTACCTGGAATTCTGTATTTGCCTTTTTACAAGTTCCTCTTAAGTTCGTAAAAACAATGCTATTGGCTAGCTTAAGTCTCGTGTTGTGTTGTGATTGGCTGTACAGAACAAAGAGTTTTGTTTCACGTAATTCCGTGCGTCTGTTCTCTGATAGATAATGACTCTCGAATTCTTATTAATAACATTATTATATAATAACCTTTACAAGCAAAACAAATTAACATCGTTCGTTTTAATAAACACTATTTTTATCTTCATAAGGGTCTTATGGAATAAATGTTAACATGGACTTTTCTCCTGAGAAATTTCAACTACTCCTAGAAGGCTGGCTATTAGCTTACTGTCATGTTAGGTAAATACATGTAGTAATAGACCAGGGGCCGCTTATTCGAAAGGCGGTTAGCATATTCCTCAGAAGAGAAGCGTCAAAGCAAACTTTCCAACAAGCTTTGTTCATGAACTTGAAAATGTTTTTTCCAGAAATCTTGTCAGGATCGTTTGAAGTTTCATTTTCTAAAATTTTAAAATATAAGGTCGTGCCGAAACAACGGGGTTTTTTAACCCATGATAATCAATACAACAACCGGCCCCTGTGTATCACGAACATTCAAAACGTTTTTTAGTATTGAATATTGAAAGGAATTCATGATTCTGATTGGCAAATAACAGCCAACCTAAATATGGATTTGCGATCTCAATGGCGCCGATAAATAGTTATTACAGGGTATGACGTCATGTAATGTGGCAATCACAGGAAAAAATTTAAATTTCCATTAATGGGTTTTTGAATGGCTTTTAGACTTAGACATTTACTATGTATTCTAGGAAGGTGATTGCTAGATAGTATACTTCAAAATAAGGTTTCCATTTTTATAACGTAGAAAATACTATCCTAACGCAAAACTAAACCCTAAAGGCCCGGTCACACTACACAACGATAACGATACGATAAATTGTAAACACGCGATAATTGTCAAAAAAATGGTGTCAGTGTCCACACAACAACGAAAATGATAAAATTATCGTTGAACGATAACGATAACGATTTTAAAATCGCTCACCTGAGCGATTTTTTTTTCAGTCGGACGATAACGATAAATTTTTGACCAATCAGCGCGCGTATACAAGTTATCGTATCGTTATCGTTGTGTAGTGTGACCTGGGCTTAACCCTAATACTAAACCTAACCCTAACCCCAACCTAACCCTAACCTAAACCCTAACCTAACCCTAACTTATTTTAAAAATAGAATAAAAACGGAAATCTTATTTTGAAGTATACTATCTAGCAATTGCCATTCTAGGAATGTAAAACTCTTAGCATTAATTATTGGTTATTACAGATTTCCCATATGCATGGTAAATTGGTAAAAAACATGATGTTTAATATTTACAATTAATGGTATTTTCCTGTGCACAGGAAAAAAATAAAGTACCATTAATGGTAAATATTAAACATCATGGTTTTAACTAATTTACCATCGATATGGGAAATCTATAACCAATAATGGTAAGAGTTCAGCTTTCACACTAAAAAACCATGGAAGGTTCAATATTTTTGAAACCAAAACGGCTCTCCTTTTGACGCTGGCCAACATTTATCTAAACAAACATGGTTCCCGGATCACATTTCATAATCACAAAAATGTATTTCAATATTTGTTTGCAATGTTATACTTTGCAATTTGGCATTATTGTTTTATTTTTGTTTACTTCATCTTTAGAGGCGGAGGGGAACTGGGTCGAAAATGGTATCACATGGGAAGACGGACAAACAAGAATAAAACTTTTGAGGTATTTAGAACTTTGCTTAAGTGCTTATGTAACCACATGGGGAAGTTAGATACTGTACACATTGGAAGTGATGGGGAAAACCACCTCAATAAACAAGAAAAACAGATTTTGGCCGGAAAACGAGAGAATCACATACCCAATTGTGCTTTTTCCATTGTTAAGAGCGTTCTTGGCTCTTGGAAAATTTTGCAGCGAATAGGTCTGTATATCAGGAACTGTTTCGTAGGATTTTGTTTCTATCTATCAGTTTCCTAGCCTGAGCAAACACATATAATTCATACTATACAGTTTGTAAACAGGTTAGCAGTAATTTCTCGCTCACAAAATTCGACTAGTTTCTCGTCTCTAATATTCTGCTGAGAAGGCGAAAACCAAGTGGAAATTCTCTATTTTTTTCTGACTGACGAAACCCATTATCCAATGGCTTTATATAAAACATAATTTATAAGATGTTAATCCATTTTCAGGATTTTGAAGCTTGTATAACAAGCATTCATGAACAAGGATATTCTTCACCTCATTTAACTGCAGTTATTGGAACCAGTGCTGGTGGACTGCCTGTAGCAGTTCTCTGTAATCATGCACCACATCTCGTACAAGCAGCGGTATTGAAGGTATGTAATATGTTGTAATGATAGAAAATTGACAGATACGTTGTTGTGTTGAGTTGAGTTGAGTTGTGTTGTGTTGTGTTGTGTTGTGATATGGTGTATTGTGTTGTCATGCCATTACCAGTGTTTTAACTCGTTCTTTAGTAAACACGATTTCTATATTATCTTGTCTTTTATTATTCTAAGGAACGATCATAAAGCTTGCTGGTAGAGGAATATAACAGTAACTGTTGTGTTGGATGCTGTGCCGTTCTTATTCGTGTCGCATTTTCCCATGTAATGTAATGTAGTGTTGTGTTTTACTGTTATGATTATTTAGTCCACATATTTTGCGTTCGTAGGTTTCTTGCGTAGATTTGATGACTGCAATGTTAGAGGAAGGGTTACCACTCACTGCCCAAGAATACGAAGAATTCGGAAATCCTCGGTAAATTGTGGCTATATAAAATAAAAAAATCCTTTGCCGATTTGTCATATCTTGCGTATTTCTTGAAATATTTTGACTGAGGGAAATGAGCTGTCCGCCGTTTTGGAAACCTTCAGGTCTCGTCAGTGGCGGAAATTCACTTTTTCCGTTGGGGAGCAAAGCCTCCTAAATTTCCGACAAAACTTTCAAGTTTCCGACATACCCGCCCATTTGCACTCGAAAAGACTGTTTTTAGCCCTCTTTTAGGTCAAAATTTTCGAAAATTCGTCAATTTTCCGTGAAGGTGGGTGGGGGGGCGGCAGCCCCCCGCCCCACCAAGATTTCCGCCACTTGGTCTCGTTAAATAATTTATGAATTGATTGGCTTATAAATTTTACATTGTGTGCCCTCGATTACTGTATATAATAGAATCATGACAAATCTGTTTTATTTTAGACTTGACGTGCAGGATTTTAATAAGATGAAATCATTTTGCCCTTATACGAACGTTTCAAAGCAGGTTTGTGATTTTATAAAAGTATGGAATGTAGTCAAGGTTAAATATCACATTAATTACTATATTAGGCTAGGTTTGTAACATTTTTAGTCCTGGTTACTGATTAGCATTGCAAGGAGTATATATACCAATTAGAATTGAAAAACCAATTACAAAGTTTACTGATTTGGCAAAGCTTTCGATGTAAAAGCCTGATGAACCAGGCTTTTACATCGAAAGCTTTGCCAAATCAGTAAACTTTGTCAGTTAAAAATAAAATAATTTCACCAACACAAAGCAAGCACGTCGATTACAGTGTAAAGCCAGCCCGGGCTCACAATGCAATAAGTGTGCAAACTGGCATATATAATTTCTTATCCAATTTTTATTGTAATTGAGCCAGAATACAATCGATTTGTGCTTGGCCAACGACCGGTCGTCAGACTAGTGGTGGTTTGCAATCAATCCCTTCAGAATTAAAAGACAAACAGATGGTGGCAATGCATGTTGAAGGAAAACACACTCCAAATGCAATAGCTGCTAATGATCTTCTTTTGTCAGCGTTTCTCCAACATGAACGACCGCCATGACTTCTAGTGCAAACCAAGAATTAAATGTTTAGAGAGCTATTAGGCTGAAGAGAACAGACAGAGAAATGACTCGATTATCCATCGTATGAAATTAATACGGTTTAAGGATCGAGCTTAAGGCAGGAATTCATGGTTGAGAAGACTTCTATAGTATCCAATTTGAAATAACGGTTGTCCCAGCTTGAAATTTGTCCGTTGTATATAAGATGTGATAATCTGTGATTTGTCGTTGTGAACAGAAAGAGGACGACATCGAATATTTTTATGAGATTTTAATTAATAATTTCTTTTCTACACTATTATGATTGTCATCATACTAATGGCCGTCGTCGTTTCACTTGCGTCCTTCTTGCTTAAAGTTCCTAACATCGATAGATTATAGATAGTTTTAGAAGTGTAAAATTTAAGTATGTTTCTTTTCACCTCCAGGTACTAAATTAAACCTTGCTTAATTAAGTTCGCTAATGTTCTTGGGTGAAAACAATACTTCGGCTATAGATACCATGACCACCTATATTATGTAATTCAACTTTGAATCTATCCCATTGTTAACTTAATAACCATTTACAAGTAAAAAGGTTAATTTGTCATTTGATCTTTAGCATTATCCCAGCATGCTTTTCATGTCATCAGTGAATGACGTCAGAGTCCCATATTGGATGGCGTTGAAGTATGTGTTAAAGCTCCGCCATGTAAACTCCATGAAAGAATATTCAAGTCCACAAAGCATGATCCTGCTAAAAACAGATTTTGAAAGTGGCCACTTTGGCGCAGGAACGTTTGAAGAGGTATGGTGCTAAAGTTGGTGCAAATAATATAAACATGATAACATGAAAGATTGATTGCTGAAAGGCTTTACTTGGTAGTGAACGCAATCACATTTAAAATTAAGTATTGTGCAGATGGGCGTTGTTTTCTTTATCTGCACGAGTGAACTCTCTATATATCTGGAGCAAGAACTTCAGCTATTCGGCGTATGAGAAAAGTGAAGCCAAGATGGCGGAAACTGACGTCCAAAATCAGGGCGCTTATATATAGGGCGGTCAAACGGCAATAGGCGCGCTGATCGATGTGTCATGCAATGAACTGGAAACGATTGTCCTGTTGTTACTATGGCGACGTTGTCTTATGGGAAGATAAATATGGTGGGAAAACTGAGCTGGAAGTTTTGTAGTCAAGTTTTGATGAAGACATAGATACTGGGGGTAAAATTCCGATGTTATACGATAATTTAGTAGATTCTGCTATTGCATTTTCAGGTATTACTGCCAATCTTTTAGAGTCTTTGCTCAAAACGCTTGCGAATGCTTACGAACGGTTGCTTTCGCAAGAAGCATGACGTGAAAGGTTTTTAAAACTCTTCGTATGTACACGTATCGTTCACGTTCGATAGAGTACAACTCACAATGAATTTTAGCCACTATAGTTGATCTTTTCAATTGAAAATCAAGAAACGCTCCTCTTGAATTTGTATTTTCTAATGAATCCTTACGAGAAGTCGTCTTGGCCAGCCGGTCAAAAAATTTCAAAGTTGAATCCTTACGAGAAGTCGTCTTGGCCAGCCGGTCAAAAAATTTCAAAGTTAGGACTTAAGAATTCTGGGAGCAAAATCCAGAAATAAAAAATTCCTGTGCATGTCAAATATAAAACTTCGTGTATATGTAGATTTCGGAGAACGTATGGTGCCACACATTTCGATAAACAATGGACCTTTCCCCTTATAACTAAAATTTTGATCTAGACAAAAATTTCATCACAGCTTGAAAGAGCATCACAAATTAGATTAGTAATATTCCAAAGTTTCGTTGCGAAATGTTGTAAAATGCGGATAATAGATAGCTTAAGATCTACGACGTCGACGTCAGCTAGGACGTCAGGGCTAAGCAGAGGACTGGGAATACATTAGGACGACATCCTAGTCCCTGTCCTCTGCATAGCCCTGACGTCCTAGCTGACGTTGACGTCGTAGATCTTAAGCTATCTAATATAGCCCTGCGAAGTTTGCCGTTTTTCAGTCATCTTGTATTACGCGCGGGAAATTGACAGCCCAATCGGGTGTTGGGGCATCAATTTCCCGTTTGTAATACAAAATGACTGAAAATTGCAAATTTCGCAAAGCTATATTATCCGCATTTTACAACATTTCGGAACGAAACTTCGGAATATTACTAATTTTGTGATGCTCTTTCCAGCTGTGATGAAATTTTTGTCTCGATTTGTCAAGATCAAAATTTTAATTATAAGGGGAAAGGCCCATTGTGGTGAACAATCTCGACTTGCAAAACGCTTTGTAAACAATAAGTAAATATTTTGTCAAAACTTTCCTGGCAGCCGTGCTGCTTGCACTGCCGGACATTTTCCAGCACTTGAAGTGATGTTTGAAGTTCAATGAGTTGACGCGTATATTGCTGTAAGATTAGTATGCCATCCACTTTATAGCATCAGTGAAACAGGTGATGTTCACTCGACAGTATAGACTGAATGCGACTGGTTGATAAGCAAATTGACCACTTGCGTAATAGACAAAATTTTGATCTCAACACGTCTAGACAAACATTTCATTACAGCTTTAAAGAGCATTACGAAATTAGTAATATTACAAAATTTCGTTGCGAAATGTTGTAAAATGCGGATAATATAGCCTTGCGAAGTTTGCCGTTTTTCAGTCATTTTGTATTACAAACGGGAAATTGACAGACCCAAACCACACCCAAACGGTATTGGTCTGTCAATTTCCCCCGCGTAATGCAAAATGACTGAAAAACGGCAAACTTCCCAAGGCTATATTATCCGCATTTTACAACATTTCGCAACGAAACTTTGGAATATTACTACTTTTGTGATGCTCTTTCAAGCTGTTTTGTCTAGAAAGTTTGGTCTAGACTTGTTGAGATCAAAATTTTGTCTATTACGCAAGTGGTCAATTAGAGTAGTTCAATTAGTAATCTACCAGAATTTAATTTCTTTCTGAACCGCCAGATGCATTTCAAACGTAGTTAAATGTTAAAATTGAAAAATCAAACTAAAACAAAGCAACTTTGGGGCATACGCTTTCATCTCATATTCGCGACATAGAAAATAATTTGACGCGACATAGAAAATTCTTTGCTTCCTTGTTTTTTCTATATAGTTTAACTTGTATATAGTTTAATTAATGTGTATACTCTTTATAATCCCCGAGCCGACGGCGCGAAGCGCCGTGCGAGGGTACTAATCCCCCCCGGCTATTTACACCCGGGGAAACGAAAGCATTAGCGGAGTCTAAGGTTCATCAAATATCGCGGGCGTGGGTCACCAACGGTGTTGGGTGGGTGATCATCACTGAGCTATACTATATTACTGGAGGACCTGCTCGGGATAAAAAAGTGTCCGCAAAAACATGGCGGATCTTACGCCATTTCCATGACAACACTTACTTTATTTTCATGGTAATTGCCACTGACCAACCACGATCCTAAGCTTTCGAAGATATCATTAACTCCCCTGGTTTTTGCACAGATATTAAAATAATAGTATTAAAATATAAAGATATTTCAAGTTTTCTGTTGTTTTTGAGCAAAAATCTTAATATTTCCCTCGCACATTACTTGTTTTACAACGCCAGTTTGCTTCGCTTGTGGATGCAGCACTTTACTACAAAGAAACTAAAAAGAAAGACTAATTCTTTCAGGTAAGATTCACGAAACTTTTTTATATTAAACTTTCTAGACGACTAGCTAGTCTGACTCTGAGTCGGTCACTAGACCCTTCATATTATGTCAAAAAATCATCATCCTATTAATATATACAGCAAATATTTCAATAGGGGACATAAAAGTATTGTTAATGATTAAATGTTGTGTACTACATGAAATAATATGTTGTTTTCACTTTTCAGTGTCAGCACTGGCCTTTGTGGTTTTATTGCCAGACAGAGACTGCCAGTTTTTAATTACTTGTATAAATTGTGGTTGTTTACATGTTCATAAAGGTTTAATATGGTGTGAAATTTATATACTTGAAATTTATATAATTAATCCCGCAAAAAGCGAATCCGGAAAACTAAGTAAGGTTATTTTAGATAAAATTAATTCCAATTTGAGACAAAAACTAAATTCAAATCAATGGAGAAATACGCAACAAGTAATTTCATGGTTTGGCAATATAAACGATAAAGACAGGCACAGTTTTATTTCATTTGATATTGTGGATTTTTACACATCTATTTCCGAAAAACTTTTAAATGAAGCATTGGCCTGGGCTTCGGATTTGACTACTATTACCGAAAACGATATTTCAATAATAAAACATGCAAGAAAATCTCTACTTTTCGGCAACGGCAAATTATGGACAAAAAAAGACGGAAACAACAGTTTATTTGACGTCACTATGGGTAGTTTCGACGGCGCTGAAATTTGTGAGCTGGTAGGCCTTTTCATTTTAAATCACTTAGGTAAGAGGTTTGGCAAGGAAAACATCGGACTTTATAGAGATGATGGTTTGGCTATTATAAAACTAGACAAAACTAGAAAAGAGCTACACAAAATTTTCAAGCAATTTGACCTTAAAATCACCGCCGAAGTAAATATGAACGTTGTAAATTTTTTAGATGTTACTTTCGACCTGATCAACGCAAAACACAAACCATACAGGAAACCCAATGACGATCCATTGTACATCAACAGACACTCAAACCATCCACCAAGCATTACAAGACAATTACCTACAGCTATCAACAAACGCATTGCACTTCTCTCATCGGACGAACAAACATTTAAGGAATCCACACCTATTTACCAGAACGCTCTTACACATAGTAATTTTGATCATGAATTTACGTACACTGAGAATGCACCGCAACGGACACGTAGGAATAGGCAACGCAACATAATTTGGTTCAACCCACCATTTAGTAAGAGTGTTAACACGAACATAGGACGGGAATTCTTAAGTTTAATTGACAGACACTTCCCACTACAGCACAAACTACACAAGATTTTTAACAGAAACACTTTAAAAGTAAGCTACAGTTGCATGAACAACGTTAAGTCTATAATCACCAAACACAACGCACATATAATTAGGACCAGTCAATCACAGAATACGGAAACTGACAACTGTAACTGCGACAACAAAAACACTTGCCCACTACCGAAACAATGCATGACCAACAACATTATTTACAAAGCAACAGTCCCAACGAACAACACGAACGACACTAAACACTACATTGGTATGACAGCGACTACATTTAAGGAACGTTACGCTAACCACACTTCATCTTTTCGTCATAAAAAAGACTCAAACAAAGCGGAACTTTCGAAACATATTTGGAAATTAAAAGAAAACAATCAGGATTATACCATCAAATGGTCAATTTTAAAACACGCTACTTCGTACACAGGGGGATCAAAACGCTGCAATTTATGTTTGGAAGAAAAATTTTGCATTTTGAAAGACATAAACAAAGACAATTTACTCAATAAAAGAAGCGAAATTTTCAGCAAATGTCGTCACAAAAACCGGTTTCGAGTAAACAAGGTCGTTAACAAAACCTAATGACCCAAGCATGCATTGTTTCACCTAAGCATTGTTTCGCCTACACGCATTCCGCACATTCTTTCGATAGCATAAAAGCAACCTACAATTTCGAAATTATTCACCACCTGATGATTCCTATACGGATGAAACAGACTGTTGTGGTGTTTTGAGGTAAAACGAAAAACTATATATATATATATATATATATATATATATATATATATATATATATATATATATATATATATATATATATTTATGTCTGTCATCTTGCGCGAGTAAACTATACTATTTCCTGACATGTCGCACTATAGATGTTGCATTTCCGCAGCTCGTTACTGGGCACTTGTTTTGCCGTATTAATTAAAATTGAAAGAGCCAAACGCGAGTTTGGGATATTTTGAGCTAGGGGTTACAATTACCCCTAGCCATTTTATTCTTGAAATTACTTACTATTTATTAATTTTGACAGAAATAATTAACTATAACTTTTACATATGTATCAACATTGTTTTGCCCAGTAAGGTGAGGGCAAAAATTACGCCAAAGCATCTTCGCGCAGCGACGATGCACCCCACCCAAGGAAAATGCAACCTCCATGTGTAACGCCATAAAATAGAAAAACGATAAACCACCGCCCTTGCAAATGGTTTGTTAACTCTCAGCATCGAGGCCTTACTTCAACTTGTTCGAGTAAAAGAAATAAAAAACCTTTCACAAACAATCGCCCGTGCAAACTGTTTGCGGTCACCTGATATGCCCCAAAATTTATGTGGTCGAACCCCTAACGATCGCCCGTGCAAACCGCGGGATATTAGACGCACACAATATAGATAGTTATACGTACTAACATAATTAAATCTTTACCATATACTCAGTGTCAATTGACTGGGAAAACGAATGCAAGACGTCATACTCACTTGGTGACCTCGTGCATTGATTAACCTCGATAAATATAGATAGACGTATGGAAGGCACTGTGAAAGAGATTGCCGCCCGTGCAAGCAAGTCTAACAAGTTGGAGCACGACCCAGACACTCCCCGCTAGTGCCAGGCCGCACGGATGTGCCATACATAAGTACTATATATATATCTATATATGAATTTCTCAGTTATTTAGCAGACATTGCTGAAACTCGAATATACTTATGGAATGCATTAGATTTCCATCGACCGATGATACGAATTTGCGAATCGGACATCCCCTGACTTGCCGCGTACGAGGCTGCACCA